AATAAGCTTACTTAAAACGTTTTTTAAAATCCCATGTGAAGGTATGGGGATGTCAATTTAAGAAAGAATTTTTTTCTTATATAGGGTTTTCTTGAAAGGGTTAAAACGTCCCAAATACAAGTCGAAAATGACAAATTTTTTTACCTCTAAATTTTTCTTTCCCAAATGGTTTTTGCTTTCCCGTTTGGGGAAAAAAATCATTACCCTTGATTTCAAAAACATTCCCCGATTCCCCTGTAAAAAAAATATAAATTCCCTTTTTTTAAAAGGGGAACGTTTGACGGAGGTTTTTAAAAGAGGGTTTGTTTTTGGGGTAAGGGGGGCTTCCCCAGAAAAATTTGGGTATTGGGTAAATTCACTGAACTTTTTTAGGGGAAAAGGGGGATTTACTACCATTCAAAATGTTGATCCGGACCTTTGAAGAGTTTGTTGAAACAAAGAACTTTTGAAGGACCGAATTTATCACAGAAATGAAGAACAGGTTTTAAAAATGACCTTTTAAAAATTGGTTGATTATAGGGCTCTTTGAAAGTAAATGGGTCAAAGGACTTTCTGAAAAAAAAAGATTTTTTCGGGGGGGCTCCTTGGGGGTAGGTGGAAGAGGGGGGGTACACCAAGTTTTGGGCTGGGGTTTTCACCTGAATTTTGTGTGTGTTCAGGGGACCCCCTGTAAGTTTTCCAGGGGTTTCCAAGCATAGTTTTTTACAGAAAATTTTGGGGTAAAGCAGTAGATTTTTAAAACCCAAAAAAGATTTTTTGTAATTGTTTTCGTGATTTCTCACTTATCATAGGTTTCCCTTTATAATGGAGGGAAATCACAAAAACGCTTGGAATTTTACTATTTTTCACAATGGTTGTTCTATATATTTATAGAATTTTTTTATATATAAAATATATTTTATATTTAAATTTTAAAATATATATATATATATATATATATATATATTTAATATATTATATATATATATTATATAATATATATATTTTATATTTTATATATTATATATATATTTATATATATATATAATATATATATTTTATATATATAATGTATATGTCGTGCCGAATAGGCAGAACTTGTTATCTTGGCTTAAATAGCAACGCTCATCTTGCCATAGAGGACAAGTGAAAATTTGAGTATACAATAATTTCGCCAAAATCATTCTAAAACCTAAAAAAAAAAAAATATATTTGTTTGTGTTTGTTTAGTATTAAATTATTGTAAACGTATTTAAAATAATTTAGTTGGGTTAGGCTAAAATAAATTGTTCTTGCTATATAAGGTTAGGTAAGTTTTCAAAGATTCTTTTGGTGCAAAATTAAAATTTTTAACATTAACATTAATGAAAAAATATATCTTTAAACATATAAGTGAAAATTTTCGAAAGGTCTTAATTTTAAATGAGTTCTTGCTAATTGACCAGTTTTACATATTCGGCACGACATTTTATGTATATATATATAAATATATATTTATAAAATATATATATATATATATATATTATATATATAATTATATATATATATATATATATATTTATATATGCAAAACAACCACTCTGAAAGAATAGAAAAATTCCAAGCGCTTTCGTGACTACTCACATTATCAAGGAACTAGGGAAAGTGAAGCATCCAAGGAAGCTATATAAGGGGTGGGCCAGCACCTCACTATCAGACCCCACAACGGTTAACACGGGGACGCGCGGCGAGCCAACTTGGACAGGTCCTTTGCAAAACTCAACCCCAAGCTATTTATTTGTCCAGTGTATTAATTAAATTCTACCCAAATTCTATTAATTTTAAATGGATCTAATTTACATTTAAAACCAGGAAATTTCATATTATTGTCAAACTGCTTTTTATGAAACAAGATTCAATTTATATTCCTGTCGACCATGGACTTGCTTGATACTACTTTCTCAACTTTTTTTAAAATCAATTGGATGGTTAAAATTCTTACATGAATAATAGAGCATTGGAATCTTGTCCAGTTCTAATTTCCCATATTTATGTTGTTTTAATCTTAGTTCGAGATTTTTACCAGTTTGACCGTAATAAACTTTATCGCAAATTTTACAAGGAATCTTATAGACACATCCATCAGCATTTTTGGGGGGGAAAAACTTAATCAAAAGTTTTTTTTACTGTATCAAGATTTTTGAATACAACTTTAATATTAAAGTCTAAGAAGAGAAGGCATATCAACCAAGTTTTCATGGTAAGGGGAACCAACATATTTTTAGTTGAATAAGGCTGGTTGCCCTTTTTTTGATTATAAAAAATGTTCCTAGCAACTTTAAAAGATTTTCAATTACATTTCTTGGGTATTTTAAATCATTACCCATTTCATAAATTTTGGATATTTCCTCATCTATGAACTCAGGACTACAAATTTTGTAAAGGCTCTCAAAAACATTGTGAGAAAACAGACAGTTTGACTCTATCTTGATGCGAGGAATAATAGTGGACTAGGAACAGTTATTTGTAGGTTTTCTGTAAATTTTAAATTTGAATTCATTATTACCCTTAATAATTAAAACATCTAGAAAAGGCAATGGTTTATTTTCTTCAAACTCGACAGTAAAGTTTATAGAATGGGCTAAGCTATTTAATTTTCCAAGAAAATGGTGTTAATTACATTTTTGGGCATAAGACAAAAAATATCATAAACATATCTAAAACCATTTGCTCTATTAGGGAGGATTGTGTTAAGCAACCTTGTTTCAAAAAATTCCATGTATAGGTTACTAAGAACAGGTGAAAGAGGTTTTCCCATTGCCATACCAAACTTCTGAGTGTAAAACTTATCATTAAATACAAATTTTGCATCAACAATGCAAAGTTTAATAAGTTTAATGATAGGAAAATGGCAATGGGAAATCAATAGTTAACGAGTTCTTCAGATAAGAAACTTAATAAATCATCACAGGAACTTTCCGTAAACAAGGAAGTAAACATCAAAACTAACCATGTTAAAATCATTTAAGTCAGTCAAGGAGTTTAATTTATCAACCAAGTCTATGTTTTTTTTAACATTAAAGTTAGAAATTTTGCCAACAATAGGGCTCAAAATATCGACAAGCCCTTTGGATAATTTATATGAAACTGACCCATGGAGCTAATAATTTGGGCTGACTGGTTCCCTGGTTTTTGTGTTTTTATTAGTCCATACATGTAAGGTAAAGATGGATTAGTGGAAGTAAATTGTTTGACTAATTCATCTTTGCCTTTCAGTAGAAGTTTTATAGTTTTATTGAAATTGCTGTTAACGGTTTCTAGGGGATTTTTCCTAAGTTTAGAATAGGTTTCAGTATCATCTAAGAGATTATTCATTTTTTCTTGGTAATCATTTTCTTTCATAATTACTATTGCATTTATTTTGTCTGCTTTAGTAAGGCGCAAATATTTATTGTTATTAAGTGTATCATAAGACTTAAAGAATCTTTGAGGGCAATTGGGAATGTTTGGTTTTAACATAGAGCTGTATACCATTCCTTTACTAATATTAATTTCATCAGAGGATAAATCAGAAAATTTTTCAAAGTTACAAAAGGCTTTTGCAATTTCAACAATATTAAAGTTGTATTCAAAAATCTTGATACAGTAAAAAAACTTTTGATTAAGAATTCCCCCCAAAATGCTGATGGATGTGTCTATAAGATTCCTTGTAAAATTTGCGATAAAGTTTATTACGGTCAAACTGGTAAAAATCTCGAACTAAGATTAAAACAACATAAATATAGCATTAGAACTGGACAAGATTCCAATGCTCTATTTATTCATGTAAGAGATTTTAACCATCCAATTGATTTTCAAAAAGTTGAGAAAAGTAGTATCAAGCAAGTCCATGGTCGACAGGAATATAATTGAATCTTGTTTCATAAAAAGCAGTTTTGACAATATAATATGAATATTTCCTTTGGTTTATGTAAATTAGATCCATTTTATTATTAATAGAATTTGGGAAGAATTTAATAATACACTGGACAAATAAATAGCTTGGGGGTGAGTTTTGCAAAGGACCTGTCCAAGTTGGCTCGCCGCGCGTCACGTGTTTAACCGTTGTGGGATCTGATAGTGAGGTGCTGGCCGACCCCTTATATAGCTTCCTTGGATTTCTTCACTTTCATAGTTCCTTGATAATGTGAGTAGTCACGAAAGCGCTTGGAATTTCTTATTCTTTCAGAGTGGTTGTTTTGCATATTTTGAAATCACCTGTTTACTGTGATCTTATTGCATATATATATATATATATATATATATATATATATATATATATATATATATATATATATATATATTATATATATATATATATATATTGTGTGTGTGGTGTGTGTGTGTCTGTGTATAATGTCATACCGAATAAATACAATTAGTCAAATAGTAAGAACTCGTTTAAAATTAAGTATTTTTTAAATTTTCTCTTATATGTTTCATGATATATTTTTTCATTTATGTAATGTAAAAATTAATAATTTTGTACCAAAAGAACCTTAGAAAACTTACCTAACCTTATTATAACAAACGCAATTTAATTTAGTCTAATCCCACTAAATATATTTTAGATACGTTTACATTAATTTAATAATGAACAAACACAATGAAAGATATTTGTTTTCGTTAGGTTCAGAATGATTTTTGCGAAATTTTTGCATACACAAATTTTTGCTTGCCTTATTCGGCAAGAAGAACGTTGCTATTTAAGCCAAAATCGTAAGTTTCACCTTTTCGGCACGACATATATACAAAATACTGCAACCAGCTGGGAATCGAACCTGGGACATTTATCCCTGTTCCTTAGAAGCCAAGCTAATCTCCCGTCGCCTTAAACCACTTTACCACCACTCAAGTGGTGGTAAAGTGGTAAAGTCAACGACTTTTTTTCTATATCCCCTGATTCTCTCTGCTATCTCTGCTGCATTCTCGGTTTATGAAGTAAACACTTTCTTAAAGCCATCGCCTTCAGACATAGAATGAGAGTCTGAATATATGTGTACCTGTCTTCTAAAACTATTGATATTTCTTTTTGATATATTATAGAGGCAGCGTGAAGGTTACTGAGTTCTTTGAGGACAAGGACAGCGTGGGCCTTGTCCATTCCTTTCATACGGTCAAACATTTTGAAACCTTCCGGACGAAAATCGTCAAGTAATATAACTTCTTTTTGTTCAGTCGTGTGAGCAAAGTAGCAGTGAGGAGCCCGATTTGGTTCACATAAATCACTGCTGAAGTGAGCGTTGAATAAGGGCATAAGTTCCAGGTAATATCCCGCCTCCTTCTGAAAAGCCATAGTCGTAAATTCATTGAATATTGAGAGGGTCCGACATGGATTACATTTCAGTACAAACGAAGTTTTCCTGTCTTTTCCTTCATTATGATAACGAACATCTACACCTGTCACAACGCATGCGTAGTTGTCGCCCTTGTTAGTGAAGTCTGTAACAGTCCATGAGAGCAGCTGTGCACTGCTGCCTTGTTGTGCCTTCAGAGCTTGTTTGACGTGCGATTCTGTGATGAGACTTCGATATTTTTCTGTGGAGCCTCATTCACCTCTTCTAATTGCTTCACATCTACTGCCTCTTCTGCTTGCCTGCCATTCACTGTCTCTTCTACTTCCTTGTCACACACTGCAAAACACAAATGTCAGTATGAGTATATTTTGATCCTTTTTATGCTTATAGTGAAAGGAGTGGTGTTAGGGGATGGGGTGATGGTGACTTACATTTAACCCTCACGGGTCATTGTGTGTAATGAGTAGTGGAGTATGTGGAGACAACCAGCTACAAAGACCCTTAAGGGTTTAGCGCTTAACTTGATTACAACAATAAACCATTGATAAGGAGGATTACCAATAGACCTCTGGCTGTCTTCAAGCAGGCACTGGACAAGCACCTAAAGTCGGTACCTGACCAGCCGGGCTGTGGCTCGTACGTTGGATTGCGTGCAGCCAGCAGTAACAGCCTAGTTGATCAGGCTCTGATCCACCAGGAGGCCTGGTCACAGACCGGGCCGCGGGGGCGTTGGCCCCCGGAACTCTCTCCAGGTAAACTCCTGGTAATTGAACGGGTGGGGTTAGAACCCATGGTCTGTGAGTCGTAAAACTCCAAGCTAGTGCGTAAGCCACTGGGCCAGCTGGCTACAAAAAGATTCATCCAACTAGGTATATTGCAATCGTGTTTTTACGATTTCTTGAGTCATAATACTAATAAAAATAATAAAAAATAATAATAATAATAATAAATGTAGACAGTATGTCTACCTCATACCTGTTTCCTATGACTACCGATAGGAGAGCTGTGTCCATAGACCTGTTCTGCCGCCTGGTGATCATAGGCCTACCTTCAGCTCGCACCACTACACCTTGTATCCTCTCACTCTGCACCCACCTGACCATCTATTAAGTCTTCTATTACTGGACTGGCTCCTGGCTACCCACTAATTGCATCTGGAGGCTGCCTGACCACGGTAGAGTGCGGTTGTGCTCTGCATCCCTCTGCTGTTTGTAGGCGAGCTACCTTGTCAGTTACCTGGCTGCAGTGGTGCGAAGTGGTGCTGTCACGCCTCTGCTAACAACATAGGTGCACTGTGATTGTCAAGATGGCGGTTAGTCTGAGACGCCGGATAAATACTGTAGGCATTGAGCTACTTAAAGGAACGATAACGCCTAGTTCTGCGCAAGTCTTATTGCCAAAGATCATCCGGGAGACATATGGCATTACAAGATAGTGACTTGTATGGCGTAGCATGGACAGAGGCCAAAGAATTTTCGTCAAACTGCTATCAGCTACGGTTTATGAATCGTTAGTCACCAGGTTTCAGGACATAAGTCTTAGCGTCACACCAGCTGTCAGTGAAAGAATGATAGATGTTTCACGGCATTATATGTGATCAAGTTATGCAACGTCCCTTTGAGGCGGACGGGATATAAGGAAAGTTTTTGAGACGTATGGGACGGTGCATGCTCAAATGGTACGTGGGTGGCAGGTGCCTATGCTGGTTTTCCAGAGGGTTCTTTCAACCTCAAAATGACTTTGAGGCACCCAATACCGTCCTATGTGTATCTACAAGATTTCGGGGGACGCAGGTAATGGTAATGTACCCAGGACAACGACGTACATGCTGCCTATGTGGTGAGTATGATCACATAGCGGCGACCTGTGACAAGCGAAGACGTGTGCCTGGACCTGTGGTGGACGTCACAGCCCCTGCTTCAAAGGTGGCAGGTGAGAAACAAACATCGGATGGAGGGCGTGGTGTTTTGTGGAGCGAGATAGTGGATCGGGCACACAGGACTGGTGGTGAGTTGGAGTGCCTCCCCCAGCTGCCTGATCAGGTATTGTCTCCTGTGGATAAGGAGGAGCAACAATTACAGGAGAAGGTTCTTGAGATTGAGGAGGAATTGGTGGAGGTGTTGAAGACTTTGTCACCGCCAGAGAGGGACGTTACATCTGAGTGTGGTGTCATCGGAGAGTCATCGCTTCCAGAAAGTCGGAGACATGATAATTTGGGATGTGAAGGTGGTTTGGAGTCGTCCGTTGAATCATTAAACCATTCTCAGGTGGAGGTGGAGGTTCATCGAGAGGCAACATCTGACCAAGACATGTGTAACATGACTGTCACGAGAAAGAGGGTGGCGACATCAGATTCTGATGACGTCCTTACGCCTGCACAAAGGCCTGGGAAACAGACTGAGGTGAAGTGTGAAGGTAGTGGTGTAGGTGGTGGTAGCCATGATAGGAGGCACCGGAAGAAGGGGGAAGGGAAAGAGAGCACTCTGAAGGTGTCAAACTTAAATTTAAGCTCTGGAGTTGTAAAGAGTGATGAGAGGAAGCAGGGGTGGAAGCTTTAATAGGCCTTAGGTGTATGTAAATGTTAATGGGTTATGTAGCGGTATGAAGAGAGATTGGTTTCATAATTTCCTGAATAAATCTAGAGTGGATGTTGTGTTCCTGGGCACAATTTTAAAGAGGTAGGGTGTTGGAGGTGGCAGGATTTTGAGTAGTTACCCTGCCATCTCCCGTCTAAAAGGTGGTGTGGGAATTTTAATAAGGGAGACAAAACCCGTTTGTTTTACAGGAAGCGAGGGAGGAGGGGGAGGGAGGGTGTTGCGTGTGGATGGGCGGTGGATGGGTAAGCGTGTGTCTTTTGTGAGTGTGTATGCGCCGGCAGAAAATAACATAAAGGTAAAGAATGATTTTGTGTGTGAGGATCTTGTGTTTTTCTTAAGTGCACTGCCAGAGGTGGCAATAGTTGGTGGGGACTGGAATAGTGTAATCAGGGTGGCTGATGTGGACCCAAAAGGGCCTGGATATATGTCTGTGGCTCTTCGGGATTTAGTTAAGGGATGTTAGGTTACGTGATGCCTTGGGGGGGGGCTGTGTGGGAGACTGAATATACGTTTGTTAGGAGTGGATATGCTGCGAGACTAGATAGTGTACCTTTCTCAGGGAGTGGATGTGAAATCTTTCAGTACTGTTGAGGCTACATGTCAGATCATAGGGCTGTGGTGGTGGAGGTTGGGGGGGGACACTCGCGGACTTATATAGAAGTTACTGGAAATTAAATATAAGTTGTGTTAGGTGATGAGGAGGGGTTGGAGGGGTTGAGGGGTTTTCAGTCCTATGGAGGGAGCTTAGTGTGGAAGAACAGGAGTGGATGACATTGTGACATGGTGGGATAGTGTTGCAAAGGAAAGGATTAGAAAGTTTTATGTGAGAGAAGGAAAACGTATTAATAATTTAAATATATGGACTGGCTAACTATTTAGAGGATAGGTTAAGAGGTTGCTATGGGCGGGGGGTGGGTGGGAATAATTTTCCTATGGATGAAATAGCTGAAATAAAGGGGAGGTTGAGGGTGTTGCAGAATGAAAGGTTTCAAGCTGTAAGGTGCAGGCAGGGGTGGAAGAATGTGCTTTGGGGCGACAAGCCGTAGCGTGTGTTTTGCGGCATCAAAAGCAAAGGCAGGCGGTGAACAGCTATCCCATGTTTAGAGGTAATGGAGATGGTTGGGGAAATTTTAGAGCAGGGCAGGAGATACGAACCATGAAGGGGATGTGTGCGTATGCGGAGGCTTGGTACGAGAAGTACTAGAACAGTGGGGGGGGGGGTGACATGGCGTTGGACAAGGTGTGTACGTATGTGACATGTAATTTAGGAAATAGTGATAGAAAGGCTTTAGGTGGGACTATTACGGCAGAGGAAATAGAGAATGCGTTAAGGGGAATGAGGAAGGGGAAAGCGCTAGGTATTGACGGTCTCCCGGTAGAATTTTATTTACAACATTGGACGTTAATAAGGGGATTTATAGTTAGGTTATTTAATTGTATGAAGGAGAAGGGTAAGTTGGGGGAGAAGCAGGTAACAGCAGTTGTAGTGTTGGTCCCGAAGGTCAAAGGGGCAGCCCACCCTTCGGGAGTACCGAGCCATATCACTGATGTGTGCAGACTACAAGGTGTTTGCAAAAATTTTAGGTAATAGGTTCAAATGTGTTGTGGGAAGGGTGGTGTCAAAATCTCAGTTTGGGTTGCTGGGAAGGTCAAAGATTGAAGGACATGGGATACTGAGAAGTTTTGTGGAAGCTAAGGGTGGGGGTGGAGGGTGGCTTTGTTGGCTCTAGATGGCAGGGAGCATATGATAGAGTGGAAAGGGGAGCTTTGCAGGTTATACTTAGGAGACAGGGTTTTGGGGAGGAAATAGTCGAGTGGGTAAATACGTTGTACAAGGGGGCGAAAATGAGGATACAGATTAATGGGTGTATGGGGAGGGAAATTGCAATGGGTAGAGGCCTTAGACAGGGATGCCCCATGTCCCAAATATTGTTTGCGTGTTTCCAGGACCCCTTTTATAGAATGGTTGACCGCAGCTTAAGTATGCCATGTGAGGGAAGTGTGGGGGGTGGGAGGGCCTGGCCAGGTTTAATTGGATATGTTGACGACACCACTGTTCTCATTCGTGAAGGGATGTCAATGGGAGTGTTGGACGAGGTTGTGCAATTATTTGAAAGTGCCACGGGTATGCAGGTAAATAGTGCGAAGTCAAGGTGCATGGGGTTGGGTTCTTGGGTGGGGGATGTGGGGGGAGATGTAATGTTGTTAAAGAATGGGCGGTGTCTTTAAAGATTTGTGGTATTATTTATAAGGATGACATGGTTGCGGTGCTGGAGGAAAACTCGGATAGGTTATTGGAAAGGATCGTGGGGCGTCTAGGTGTTCTGAGACCCCAGCATCTAACTCTTATACAGCGAGTAATAGTCGTAAACATTTTATTGTATAGTAAGATCTGGAATGTTGCAGCTGTGTTCCCAATTACAGGGACAGCAATTGTGGGGATTCTAAGACGGGTGTACAAATTTTTGTGGGGTTCACGTTGTGATTGGTTATGGAGGAAGTTGTAATGTTGCCTGTAGTCAGGGTGGGTTGGGGTTGTGATGGATTTGAGACGGAGGGCTAAATGTGCGTTTATTAAATGGGAAGTGTTGCGTGAGGGTTGTGAACGCGGGGCAGTTGGGAAGGATACACGACAGGCTGGGTATGTGGTATCGAGGAATGGAGTTGAGGGAATGCGAAATCGTTTTGAGGGCTGTGATGTTGGTTAGGGAACTGAGAAAGGTTCGTATAAGGGTTTTG